ACATTATAGTAGTCTAGTCATCTGACCATATTAGCACTACCTGGTTCATTCAGTTTCTGCTACACAGTCCTCACTGCTAAACTAGTCAAAGATTGCCAAAGATCCATGACTCGGTGTCCTACTTCCTTCCATAGCTACGTAAAAGAACACCCCTTTAGATTTAGATTAGCACCATGGAAAGTGGTGTCTGTACGCTTTGGTCTAAACGGAGGCTAGCCAGGTGTTTCCCATATTCAATTTCTGCCACACAGTCCTCACTGCTAAACTAGCCAAAGATTGCCAAAGATCCATGACTCTGTGTCCTACTTCCTTCCACAGCTAAAAGAACACCCCTTTAGATTTAGATTAGCACCATGGAAAGTGGTGTCTGTACGCTTTGGTCTAAACGGAGGCTAGCCAGGTGTTTCCCATCGTCTGATATTTTTGACCCCCAGAAACATCAGGAATCAATGGGAACATCTGGGTGTCTGTGTGGTTGTGAGCTAAACACTAAACTCATATATCTTTGTTCTTTAGCATATGCATATGCTGAAGAGGTGTGTCTGTGGAACTGTGCCAGTATTCAGGAGTCTGCAACTTCCAATTGTTTCCCTGTTTCCAGTGTTTTATAGGGAGATGCTGATCTTTCTCCAAAAACCTCATCACTGGAAATTACTGCCTGACATTTAAAGGCTGGCCTTTGGCTATGAAAACCACAACATATACAGCAATGATGTCATATCACAGGCTCACTGGCTTTTGTAATATGTTGCACGGCAATAAGAGAACTGCATACAGACGATAAATAAACTGTTGGCCAACAACTTCATTTAAGTGTATTTTCATAGTTCTGTTGCTTTAGCTTTTCAAGATTAATCTATTTATTAACATCTGGTGAACATTTCCAAAGCTGTCCTTCCCTTTCATGGAACTGAAAGCTTAAGATAAAGATATTTTCCTGCATTATTTATGTACTACTAAATCTTTATAGTATGTATGAAACATGGTCTTGGGGTATATGCACACACACATATATCCTGCGGTTTGGATTGTTAAGTATATGAAGTTTCCACCTTCCCCTTTTGCTTTTAAGATTACAGAGTGGTTCCTCCCAGAGGCCACAGTACCTCCCTGTTTTTCTGAAGTGTAAGCCACTCAGCACAGAATGGAAACTTTTACAGCATTTCCTGTCACTTCCTGCTCATCTCATCCCTAAAAAGGTGCTGTGGATTATCTCAGCCATGTCACAAAATAGACATTTATTCTGGGTTATGAAAGCAGAGAAACAGGGAAATATAATGCCAAGAACGACAGTAAGAAAATTATCTTCAATGACATGTTGCAGACTTAAAAACAAAACAATTTAAAAAAACCCCTTTCCTGCCATTATAGTAGTGCTCTGAAACAAATACAACCCTCCCTGTCCCTTCATGAACCCCTATGTAATTAAAATCTACTGGAGTAAGTTAACTCATGTACAGAAGAGAGCTTTTCCAATCAACTTAAGTGCAATTTATTAACAAATGCTGATTTTTCTCTTATTAAAGGGTTTCCAGACATACCATTTGTACCTCTCCAGTTTTCATGTAAAGCTTAGCTATTTACTTTTTGACTTCCAAATGACATCCCTCTTTGTCCTGTTTTTCCATGTAAAACTGAGCTATCAATCTCTGATTTAACCCTCTTTTTTCTACCTTGTCTCTTGTCCCATTCTTCCTCTGCTGCCCAGAAGCCCCTTCGCCCCTCTGCACTTTCTCCCACATCTCCTGACACCGTCCATGTGCAGTGATGGGTATTCCGCCTTTTGCAAAAAATGCAGACAGGTACTACAAGACTAATTTGACAATTACAAGACTAATTTAGAGCAGGATACCTATTTTTATATTCATATTCTATATTTAGAACTAATGCACCAATGTTTCTTTTTAATAAATTCAGTCAGTGCCTACTCTCATTAACACAGTCACATGTATCTATACATTTTAGGGTGGGGACGATTCCTTCCCATTCCTGAGCCTGAGCGGCACGTACAGAAAAGAGAAGAAGGTGCCAGGTGGGAGAGGAAGAGGGGTGCAGGAGGGAAGTCAGAGAAAGCAGGGGAAACAGAGGTGAGGGGAATGAAGAGGCTAGGGATCGCTGGGAAACTGCAGACCAGATGTCCTCTATACAGATGGCTGGTAAACAAACATTCAGATGATACTTGTACAGACTGAGATGGTCGAGCCTGGATGTGGACATCAGAGGAAGCATCCACCAGCGTGATGTAGGATAAAGAAAGAAGCAAAGCAACACACAGTATCATAGCATTTCTAAGAGAGTTGTTAAATCCATTTTACTAAGAATATAAGATAAATCCATTTTACTAAGACCAAACATGAGTCCAGCAAAGCACTCTATTCCCCACCCCATGATTAAATCCTATGCGACTCTCCAATTTGTTTGTATTTGCAATAAAAATGTCATTAAAGTTTCAATTTAAAAAAAACAATTTAAAAGAAAAATCTTTTCTAATACAGCCCATTTATTTCCTTTGGAAATGTGCTGAAAATCCATCTAGCTTTTGCAGTATTGCCCCTGTCCTATCATTCTTTGTCAGCCTTAAGGAAACCATAACGCTGAGTTGTACTGCTGAGTTGTAAGCCATGATACAGCTATTCACTTGCCACATTCAGAAATGCTTAATTCAGCACTTTTTAAGCTTTTACCGCTGTAGTTTTATGCATCTATATACAAGGAAAAGTCTATTAGTTTTAGAACAGTTTGAACAGAGCCAATCCTACCATTAGGCAAACCCAGGGAGTGATGAAATAGCATCAAATTGTTTGCAGTTTAACTTATTGCTGTTCTGCTTTTACTTTAGTTAGGGAGAGAGGAGCCTGTGGGTTTTTTTGCCTCAGATTCCAAAATAACTTGTTTGGCCTTTGGTTCACCATACCTCTCAACCAGCAGGGGGCACACTTTAGTGTTCTGCTTTAAGCAACATAATGCCTTGAATGTGATACCAGTACAACACCATCTTCTTCAGTCATCTCCATAGGAAGAGATCACTGTGGATGTGAGCCTAGAGCTGGTTGACAATGGAGGAGACAGATGTGCTGCGTGACTGCATCTGGCCCAACAAGTACTGACATTTTTAGCGAACGCATCACACTTACCCAGATCTAGGCAAAAAAGTTGTTTTACATCAGGCCAATACCCATGAAAATACACAATGCACTAATTTAAGCTAGTAAGATGCTATATATACTTGGCCCCAACTGTTCAGTGCAAGCTCAAACAAGAAGCCTTCACAACTTTGCTGCAAAATGCTCAAGCAAAGACTTTGACAAGCAAGTTTCAGAGGTGTGGGGCAGCTGCTGAGGTGGCAGCGCTGGCTGTTACAAATAAGCTGTGACAGAGCATGTGTGAGTGATTTCCACTTCCTGTTTTCATGTTTCCAGCATACTGTGCTGCCTTTAAGTTGTGCAGGACTGGTGTCTAGATCAAAGGATACACATATATACGTGCAAAAGGTGGAGCAACTAAGAATGGGAACACAGGCGCAGAATGTTATTAAACCCATTTTTCTATTTAATGTTTTGATGACACTTCTTTCAAAGAACATAAAGTGTACAACTTTTTTTACCTTTCTGGCAATGTTGGCAATGCTACTGGGAGGTTCCAGAGAATTATAATCTTTAAAAGTTACTTTTTCAAGCTCTGGAAAGGCAGCTGGCCCCAGATGAGCTGCGATGGTGACAACTTGCTGTTTTGCTTCAGCAACGGCAAGGTGGAATGGCTGCCAATGATGGCAGGAACCGCATTACTCACAGCACCAGAGCGACTCAAAAAAATCCTTTGGGAGCAGCACAGAAAGTGTAACTGTCTTTTCTACAGAGAGCGAGTTTTGCCTACACATTATATTTCTAAAACAGAAATAACAGTACATTTCATTTTTAATCTCTCATCCTATCAATTTTGATGGAAGATACATTTTAAGTGTATTATGACTGCACATGCTTTTAATTTCTAGGTTATAACTCAGCTTGGAAAAGTGACTTGCCATCAAGTAATCAGAGAAATCCAAAAAACAGTTACATGCTGGGGAAGTGAACCACTTACTTGCTGGGTGGTGGATGTGCATCCTTCACTCCACTCCCAGCCCCATCCTAATCAGAGCTGGAAAAATTACTTTTAACAAAACCACCATACACCAAACTGTTGTAATCATCTAGCCAGTAAGCCACTGACTATGCCATCTGGGGTTGTAGGAATTACAGCAAAGCAAAGCAAAACCAACAAACAATCCCTTCACTTTCTTGAGCTCTGTCACCTGTTGCAATCTACTTTATTTTCAAAGACCAAACCTTTGGCATCTTTCACCCTGGTTGCTTTCTTCTTTAGCAGCAGTATGGTGTAGTGGTTAGAGTACTGGATCATGACTCTGGGCCTGTCGGTCTCTCAACCTGATTTACTGCACAGGGTTGGAAACATAAGGATAGAGAAAAAAAGATCAACGTACCAAGTGCCTTGAGTTCCCTGGAGGAAAGATAAAGCATAAAAAAATGCGACATATAAACACATGCAAAAATAAATAATAAAGTGAGTGCAGCGAAGGACTGCCTCCACTTGCTAGATTAAAATCAGAATTAAAGGAGAAAGTAAAACTCCAGCTTAAAATAAAATACAACAGGTATTATTGCCTGTATCCTCTTTTCTGTTTTCACAGGGCAAATCGAAACTGCTTGCAAAGAGGTAGCCCCCTACACACCACCCCAAGCTTAAGGGATCTTGTTTACCTGTAAAAAGGAGCTGCTGTTTAAAACTGTGTTTTTAAATAGCGGTAGCAAGTTATACATAGTAAGAGCGAGCGAGGGGTGGAAAAATGGATGGTGTTATCTTTAACCCACAAAGATTGGAGCAGATTCTGTTCTGAGCTAGCTAACAATGGAAACTTTTTTTTCAGTGTTTCCCTTCATCGGTCCTGCCAAGCAATAGAAAAGAGAGAGAGAGAGACCGGGGGGGGGGGGGGGNNNAGGAGAGCACCAGAAAGAGAAGAAACTTGTTCCGCTGAGTTCAACCCCAGGCAGGCTCACAACTTCCTTCCTGCTTTCCGACCCCCCTCCCCTCCCTTTCTCTCTCCCTCACATTCAACGGACAGCGAATGACAAGGGTGGCGTTGGGGAAAAAAAGAGAGACGGTGAACACAGAGGCAGAGCAGTTAGCAAAAGAAAAGAAAAGAAAAAAAGTTCCCGAGGTCAGCCTAGAAAAGTATTGTACTCGTTTTTATTTTGCAGTTCACCTCCGAAAGGGAGGGGGGAAAGGGGGGAAACAAACAGACGCGTACAAAAAAGCCTTGATCTGGATGAAAAATAATCTCTGGAGCCTTTTCCTTTCTTGCTTCGAGGAGGGCTGCGCGTCTGGATGCGCTTTTCCCGACGAGATGTGACCCTGGTCTGTTGAACAGGTAAGGCCAAATTTTCTTCGATTTTGCCCTCATGTTCGAGCCCCCTCCCTTTCTTTCATTTTCCAGGGAGGTAGCTCCCCCTCCCACACCCCCGATCCTCCTGTATGAGCAGCGGAATTAGGCTGGGAGTAGTGGCGGGCGAGAAACTGCGCACAAGTTTCACAAGGCACATTTCTCAACAGGCTGGGGCCACTCCGTTAAAGGGTGCAGTGTGTCTCGTTTCGTTCAGATGCCATCCTCTGTTCGGCAGGGAGAGTCTCCCTCAAGCTGCCTTTATCTGTCAAGGTCTGTCAGCAGCTGGAGTCTGGGCTTTTGCTATTTCCCCCTCCTCTTCCTAAGCACCACCACCATGAGAGACTTTTAGTGAAGCAAAATACCTGCAGGAATTGGAGAGATCTGCTTTAGGAGCTCACCTGTAGCAGGGGTGCAAATTTGCCCTCTAGCGCCCCTCATAAAGCATTCATTGCTGGGTTTAGATTGTACCGAATCATACATGTTCACAGCTAGCATGTTTACAAAATAGGTAACACATAGACCTCATAGACCTTCTCTACTTTTCTCCCTCCAAGTCTGGACACACCCAGGAGTTTCTGTCTACTGAAATTTCAGTTCTAGGCTTAAATTATAAAGGGGTCGTTCAAATCCAGATGCAAGCAGCTACTATGCCACAGTTGATTGTGTGCTCCTGTTCGCATGCAATACTACTTACATCCAAGCAAGAAAGTTGTCCCTTTTTCTTTCTAGAAACTAGATTTCTTTCAGTGTGATTTCTGTGGCTGAAATCTAGTAGTAAGTTGCAACTAGAGTAGGCCAACTGAATCAATGGGGATTTGGTGAGTCAACACCATGGGCCTTCTCCAGCTGCAATTTTCTCCTGGATTTCCCCCATTGTGTCTGAAAGTAGAATGGGCTGGAATCCTGAGAAATGCATGAAAATGCAACCACATCGGGAATCTCAATAGGAGTACATTCTACTAAATAATAAAAAGCTTTCTAAAATAAATACATTTTTAGACATGCTCATTTAAAACTGTGGAGTTACAAGAAATGTGCATTAATGTGGAACTGCCACTATGTGCACACTTTGTTTTAATTTAAAAACCTAGCCTGAAGCATATAATTAATGATGGTGAGAGAAGCAGTGGGCAATAACAAGGGGATAAAAAACCACATATATAAAGAGATTAGATAGAGCAATAGCAATAAATATTCATACTTTTCACCACTCAGTTTCAATCAGAGAGTAGACCCATTGATTCAGTTGCTAAATGGTAACACTTAAATCCCACTGAGTCAATTAGTCTGCTTCAGTTCAGCTTAACAATAGGACACTGGCTCATGTTGTTCAAAGTGCATTGGAATTCCCCACATTTCATAGGCATGCACCTAACTGTGAGAAAAAGTATACTGTTCTACTCTTCTTCAATTACATGGATTTTGAGTATGAACCCATTGATTCAGTTGCTAAATGGTAACACTTAAATCCCACTGAGTCAATTAGTCTGCTTCAGTTCAGCTTAACAATAGGACACTGGCTCATGTTGTTCAAAGTGCATTGGAATTCCCCACATTTCATAGGCATGCACCTAACTGTGAGAAAAAGTATACTGTTCTACTCTTCTTCAATTACATGGATTTTGAGTATGAAAAGAAGTGAATTATACTGTTCTACTCTTCAATTACATGGATTTTGAGTATGAAAAGAAGTGAACACAGAATACGTATACTAAGGGACTTTAAACAGACGACATAAAAGTAGGTACAGTACTCCTATGTGTGCTTTTTTACTGTATTATTATTCAAAAACACCAGGCACAGTCAATCAAAACTATAAAAACATTGACTGGTATTATGTAACAGATCATTGTTATTGTTGTTATCCAAATATATCAGGCACAGTCATAATTATAAAAACATTGACTGGCATTATATAACAGCTACAAGTTTTAACCAAAAATCTAAGTACAGTATATGTTAAATATCGGCACAGTATGTATGCTGTTCCTAATATTGTCATTTTTGTAGCTCTGATGGTGTGTTTTCTGAAATCTGCAACTGCTTATAGTTGCGTTGTTGTTGTTGTTGTTGTTGTTGTTATTAGTAGTAGTAGTAGTAGTAATAGTGTGTCAATTATAATCACAGGCAACCCTTTTCAAAGTTTTTGAGGTATGGAGTCCTCTGAAATGATTTACCATTCCCTTTTTCTGGGTGGTGGTGGTGTTTTCCTGGGACTGTATAGCTTTCCCAAGGCCACACAGGCTGACTTTTCTGGGATGTACTGAACTACTAACCTCTGAGTTCCCAGCCAAACACCTAACTCAACATTCAAGCTCTCTTTGTATTGAACAAGAGCTGTTTAGACAAGTGAATTTGGTACATGAAGAAATCATTGCATATCATGTCGCCTACTCCTACACATAGTGTATTTAGTTACAAGTAAATCACATTAAGTGGGACGTGGTGGCGCTGCAGGTTAAACCGCAGAAGCCTCTGTGCTGCAAGGTCAGAAGACCAGCAGTCGTAAGATCGAATCCATGCGACGGAGTGAACTCCTGTTGCTTGTCCCAGCTCCTGTCAACCTAGCCGTTTGAAAGCATGTAAATGCGAGTAGATAAATAGGTACCACCTCAGTGGGAAGGTAACGGCATTCCATGTCTAGTCGCGCTGGCCATGTGACCACAGAAACTGTCTACAGACAAATGTTGGCTCTACGGCTTGGAAACGGGGATGAGCACTGTGCCTTAGAGTTGGATATGACTGGACTAACTTTACCTAAATCACATTAAACTCAATAGGTTTTATTTTTTCCTACATGCATAATATTTCAATCTTAGATACATACCAGAAGTAACTCCACTTAGGATTTTAAAAATTTGTCAAAACAGAGTCAAACAGCAAACCATGAGGTAAAGCTGTTATAATAATGAACATGTACAGCGTAAAGTAGCATGATTTTGCAAAAGCTCATCTGAACTTTGCGTCATGCGAATGTTTGTAAGTTGGCTGATAAAAAAATTCCACGGGATCTTATTCTTACAGCAAACAAGCACACGAGAGGGGCAGAGAAACACCCTGAGCTAGCCACAAATTGATGGAGAGATAGCAGTAATACAAACCACCACAGTATACCTTAGACACAGTATACCTTAGACATCCAGATACTGTATGTACAAATATCACTTATGTGTACACACTCAAACAAAGGAGGAAGAAATTTAATATTATGCAGCCCAAACCAACATTCTGTAATAGGTCCAACTATAAATAAATAAGTCAGCTTATTCTGACCAGTGCATGAGACTATAACCTTAGTTAACAGATCCATGCATTACGTAAGTCCAATGAATTGCCCAGCTGCTCACATATTTAAAATGTTCCAAACCATTAGGGCTGGAGAACTTACGCTGTTCCACATTTTGTTTAGATTCCGGCTCCTGTCAGCCCCAGTCAATATGGATATGGGTCAGGGATGGCAAGTAGTGGAATGTTAACTACATCTGGAGCGCTGCGGATTCTTCAGCCCTGCATGAGAAAAAGCATTATTGCACATAAACATGTATGCAAGTACCATTGAAAACAGAATGAGGTAAAACAAAGTAGCAGGCTAAAGTAGAAGAACACAGACACAAAGAAAAGTGACCAATGGGAAGTGTCTGAAGCTGTGCTTTCCTTATTGTGTTTTGGGACTTTATGGCTCCACGTTGTGCTGTGTGAGCCCCTCACATGATTATGAATAACAATAGTAATTGTGTATTGTCAAGTCAGTTCCGACTTAAGATTTTTCCAGGTAGAGAACGTTCAGAAGTGGTTTACCACTCCCTTCTTCCAGGGGCATTCAAGAGCTATGCAGCTTGCCCAAGGCCACACAGGCTGGCTCTGCTCATAGGAGGCACAGATCTCCCAACCTCTGGCTCTGCAGCCAGGTACTTAAACCACTAAGCTATCCAGCCAGCTCCTCACACAATTAGGTTCAAAGACTTATAGTTACTCTATATAACTTCATTCCGTTCAGCCTCAAGGATAAATTTCCAGTCCTAAGCTCCTTCTCCTTCAGATCAATGGCTTAGGCAGTTATTATTATTTCCCATAGTTTTATGATCTGAAAGTCTGTGTCTTCCCCATACATCCTCCTGGGGTCTTAAGATGTGTAGCCTGTATAATTAAAAATTGTAAACCGCCCGGAGAGTGCTTGTAGCGCTATGGGGCGGTATATAAGTCCAATAAATAAATAAAGGGGTCTTAAGATATTCATAGTGGTTGCTCACTGGCCATGAAACTCCCTTTTTAAGGGTGGGACAGAAAGATAGGCCTCTTCAGAACATCCTAAGACCTAGCCTCCTTTTGAAAGAGACTAGGTTGGCATCCTCCCTATTGTCTTTTCACCAGCAAGTGGAGACTTTTTGTTTCAACAGGCCTTTGACATTGATTGACTGAGGGCCTCTTAATTGTTGATAGTGGTCTTTTCAAAAGGGTTCTAGACTATATTAATTGTTTATTTAATCATGCAATATATTGTATGTAATTTTAAATTGCATCTGGTTTTTAAATTTATGCTGTAAACTTCTTCGAGTCCTGCAAGAGTGAAAGGCTGGGTAACATAAACAAACAAACAATTCATGTATGAGAGTCTGTAGAGCCTCTCAGGCTATTATTCTCCTCTCCCTTAACACCTTTTCCAACTTAGTCCACCCTCAACCGCTTGAAGGAAGTCAGTACTAATGTCTTAAGACCATCTAGTGGTCACATCTTCTGCTTTGCTGCCTGTTCCTATGAGGATTCTGGCTGTTGGCTGCGGGCAGGTTTTATGATTTTTTTCAGACGCTGTTCAAAGGCATTATTCTCATTCCTTCACATTTTCTAGGAATCAGCCAGAGTACTAAAGACTAGAGATGTGAAGCTTTTGTGTTTTTGGACTACAATTCCCACTGTTTTCCAAGGATCTGTCTGCACACCACTGCTAAAGACTATTTCAAGGACGAAGATATATTTTCCCCAACTTATATTTTCACAGTTTGTTTTGAGATGGCAAGTGAGGTCAGGTCAGGTCTACATCCTCATAACTTGCTTGTCTCCTATTAAAAGAGTGCCTTCCCCTTTTTCTTTTCACTTACACTTAGGCTTGTGGGAAATTAAAAGAGCCTAATTCAAACACACTTATCTGGCCACATTTAATTGCAGCCAAATGTTGCGATTGGCTTGGCCTAATTTTGGGACTTCTTTGTATCTCTCCACATCTCCAAATGTTTGTGTGAACTCTCCTTGTAATGAGTTTGGAAGGAGGCAAAAGCTTGCACACAACTGCTGCATTTTGAGTGGTTATAATAAAGGCATTGCTGAACACAGCAGCCAGTAACGGTGGTTACTTTGGGGAAAGTTACTCTATCCTACGCTTAATAAACGTTCTTTCTTAATTATTTGCATCTCTTGGTGCATTTGGACTGAGCCATGACATGAAAATAAAGGCCTGAGCGTTATGTACTGATCCAGATCAATATTTTGTCTGTATAATCAACGTTATTGAATATGAATTGTTGATTCATCTCACATAACATAGTGGGAAATCTCTGTATTATGTCAACTATTGGTACAGTATATTGGTGGGAAATCGCGGTTTGAATGGTTGCCCTTCATTCCCTCCAGTTTTTTATTTTTTTAAAATGCATAAGATTCGTGTAGTATCTCTGTAGCCTATCGAATGCTTGTAGGGCTTTGACATTTCTTAATCATTAAGAGGCGAATCCTCGCGGCAACGCCTCCCGTATCTTCTTTACAGCCCTCCAGCTAAACCCTCGAGCGCAAGCTTTGTCGCCATTGGCCGAGGCTTGCGACCTGTAGCCAATGAGCGCGTCCGGCTCGCGCCCTCTCGGTTTTCCCGCGCTCATGGTCCCTTCCCTCTTGTCTTTTTTTTCTTCCCTCAGAGTGTTTATGGAGCTGCGGGCCGGGGACGGCTCCTCGTCCCTGCACGTCTCCTGCTCTCCGGGCGATGTTGTTGCAGCACCACCACCACCACCACCAGCTGCTGCCGCCGCCGCCCCTGCTGCTCGGCAGAGGCTGACCTGGAAGAAAGAGGAGGCCGTGGAAGGAGCGGATCCAGTCCCTCGGCGGCCGGACCCTTTACTATGGCCGTGTCCTGCTATGCGCTCAACAGCCTAGTAATAATGAAGAGCGGCGAGGAAGAAGAGGGGAAGAGCGGCGGCGGCGGCGGGATGAGGAGTAAGACGCCTCCAGTGCCGCGCAGGCAGGTGCTGCCCGGCTTGGTCCGAAGAAGCGACCGGCATAGCAGCTACTGCCCGATGCCCGGCCGCTCCGGGGACTCCAGCGCCGCCGCCCCCGCTTTCCTCTTTCCCCCAAGGGAGCCGTTGCCGGCGAGGGACGAGGCGGTGGCCCGAAGGACCCCCAGGCGGCTCAGCAGCCCCAGCTGGACCAGCCCCCTCAGCCGGTCCCCGTCGCCTGGCCCGTCGGCGGCGCGCCTCCTCCAGCGGGAGCTCCAGAACGTCCAAGTGACCGAGAAAGTGGGGCTCTTCGAGGCGCACATCCAGGCGCAGGGCACGGGGGCCGCCCCCTCCGCCGCCTTCCTCCTTCAGAGCCCTCGCCTGCTCCGGAGGAGATCGCCTTCCCCCCGGCCTTCTCCGGTGGGGGACGACCAGCCCCAGGACAAGGAGCGGCGGCTTCCGACGGCGGCGAGGAGCTCGGCGCGGGAGTCAGGAAGGGCGGCTGGTGGTCGTCCGCGGGCGGCGGCGGCGGAGGAGGAGGCGGCGGCGGCGAGGCCGAGCGGCCTCCCCGCGGCTCTAGAGCTGGAGAACGGGCTCCCGGGGCCAGCGCCGCGCCCAGAGGGGAGGGCGACGGCCACGGCGGGCGGCGAAGTCTCCGGAGCGCAGGACTCCAAAGAGGAGGAGGAGGAGGGGGGGAGGGGGAGAAAGGCGCTCCGGCGACGGGGCTCCGAGGAGACCGAGACACGGCGGGACGCGGTGCCAAAGGCGCACCACCGTGGGGACGAAGCGGGGAACGGGAGGATTTCCCGGGCGCAGGAGTCCGGGAAGGCGGAGAGGAGGCTGGGGTGTCGTGCGGGGCAGGAGCGGGAGAAGAGAAGCGGGTCTCCCCCAGGAAGGGCCTCCAGCGAGAAGGAGAGCGGCAGAGGATGCTGCCAGGATGCTCAGGCCTCCGGGGGCAGCGGAGGGCAGGCAGAGGAAGGCCATGGGGGGCATCCCACCAGGCCCTCCAAGGATCATCCCAGCTTCTTCGAAGGCGAGGAGGGGAGGAGCGGCTTCTACAGAAGGCAGGGCTCAGAAGCAGCAGAGGAGCCCCTTGGAGAGCCTATCCCGCCAGGAGACCCGCCTTGTCTGGCGAGGACGGACTGCAAGGAGGGCAGGAGCGCTGGTAGCAACAGTCTGCCAGCTTTGATTTGCTCCTTGCAGCAGCCGCCGCCGCCACCGGCCCAGCGTTGCCCTGAGATGATGGCTGAAGCCAGCAGAGCTGGGCTACAAGAGCAGCATCCTGGACAGCAGCCTCTGCTGCCAGTGGGGATCTCCATAGGAATACAGGAACAGGGGAATTCCTTGGTGGAAGTGGAAAGCTGCTGTGCAGGAGGCTGTGGTGGAAGTAGCATCCCTGCTGTCATTGTGACTGACCTGGGTGCTCAGGAGGAGGAGGAAGCAGCAGCAGCAGGAGGAGGAAGCCCTCGGAAGAACATGCCAGCCAGGAAGCTGTCTTCTTCCTCTGCCTCTTCCACTGGCTTCTCCTCGTCCTGGGAAGAGTCAGAAGAGGACATCTCCAGCGATCCTGAACGTGCCTTGGACCAGAGTCCAGCCTTCCTGCAAACCTTGGATAAACCAAAAGTGGTAAGTTTGCAGCACTGCACACTCACTTTTCAAGTGTTATTTTATTTCAGCGGGTAAGCCTTCCCAGTAGCTTGCGGTGCTTTCACAAGCACTTGGCATCTCCCTGCCCAGCCCTTCTCATTTTTGTAGTGGCAGTCCTCTGAAAAACAAATACTTATGTATGTATATGTAATAGGTTTTGGCCCTCTTTTTTGGTAGTTTATGTGGAGTTGCTTTTTTTTTGCTTTTTAATCGCTTACATTCTTCTATGTCTAGCTTGGTCCTTCCATTGAGTGAAGATTATGTGTCTGTATCTTAACACTAAACAGTTCATACGTAAGATAGTCTGATCGCATTCATGAGATTCACTTGAAATTGGGAGGAGGGGAAAAAGCAAGCGGAACACAGGAGTAGTGACATATGCTCAGAACTCTTGGATTCGGGAATAAATTCAGAGATGACCACGTGATGAACACTGTGGCCATCATGGCTTCACAGCAGAGAAAAAGCAAGTGGACCACAGGAGTAGTGACATATGCTCAGAACGCTTGGATTCAGGAATAAATTCAGAGATGACCACGTGAACACTGTGGCCATCATGGCTTCACAGCGGCCATCCCATGACTTCCCTTCAAGATCATAGTAGCTTTAGACAGAGTGAAATTAAGTAAGTAAAGGTGATTGTACAAGCTCACACAAGTAAATCCAACTGAATTCAGTGGGACATATTTCTAAATAAGTGTGTATGGGACTGCAAATTGAAATATTTATATTTCCAATAAATAAAACTAATGTAAAACAGTGTATTTAAATCAAGTTTCCTGTTCTCACATTCCGTTTTTCCTGAATAGCTATGCATGCTGATTGGTATAAAAATTAACTCATATGCATTTGCAGTTAAACAGACCGTACACAATATGGAACAATACATCAAACACGAATCCACATGTTTTGCAGAATAATATCTATTTAGAAACCCAATAAAATAAAATCTGGATCTCTCTGTATACATGCAAGGTTATCTTACTTGTACATGCTTTTAGAAGCAAGTCCTGCTGTATTTACTTCTGAGGAAAAGCACTTTTAAATATCCAGTATTATCCATATTCAAGAGTAGTAATTGCTGAACAAATAATGTTTATTACTGAGATGTCCATGGCATTTGTTTAGTAGAATACAAATATTCATAATTTGAGCCCTGAACATATTGAAAAAGGTCAAGAAGTTTAGACGCTTAATTGGGAATACACTATCATTCCTGCAGATGATGATCCTGCAATATACAAGATGTTTTCTCTTGAGCACTTCTTCTTGTGATGCAAAAGTATGGGTTAATAGGAGGTCAATCATGCATGAATTGTGTTGTTTATAATGCTTAATATTAGAAATGAGAATTTGTTCATTTGGATCCTTCTTTATATGTGTATACAGCCTTTAACTAAATCTGTTTGATAGATGGACAATATTAAGATTTAAGAGAACAGCTACTAAGCAGGGTCAGGCCTGGTTAGTACTTGGATGGGAGACCACTTGGGAATATGAGGTGCTCTTCTGCTTTAGCTGACTGGAAAGTTCAGTGAGTTATATATCTAACTACAGAGACAGAATTTGGGTATTTGAATCACCAGTGTGCCTTTGTAGAATAAAAACTAGCTTGTGTGACCTTGGGCAAGCTACACAACCCCAGAGAATGGAGTGATAAGCCAATTCTGAGTAGTTGTTGTTGTGGGTTTTTCGGGCTCCAATTCTGAGTACTCTATATACCTAGGAAAACCTGGCAAGGGTTACCATAATATCAGAACACACTTGATGGCACATACTGTAATTATTCGGATACTTTAAAATGTCTGTATAAAAGACATCTATAATAATTACTTTAAAACATAATCTGATCTAAATTTTTAAAAGTCAGATGTAATTTTTTAAAAAACCACAATCAATTTCCATCCACACTGCCCACACACAACCATTTGTATGGTTTGAACAATCTCTTTCCATAAGAATAACATGCAGCTGTTTTAAAATACAGATGCAGGGAGAACATACTGTTTACATTCGCATTGATGCTTTTTGAAGTCTTGTGGACCTGTCGCCTATGACAGGTATTCATCTGCCAACAATCCAGTTCCACATGGACTTCTAATTTAATATGAGTTTTCTCATAGCACGACAAAAAAAAACTGTGTGAATTTGATTTTCAGCTGTTAAAATTTGTCCAAGACGAGTGGGAAAAATTACTGTTATTAGTCATATTTAAAAAACACACACAACTTGCTAGCTTGTCACACTGTTTAACTTCATTACTGAAGCCTCTTCAGCTGTTATTGATCATGAATGCTTCATGCTTTTATTCTCAAATGAAAAGCCAAGGCAAGTGCCGGCCACTCACTGCCCAACTTAGCTGTGACTTCTATGCAAAGAACTGAGTTACTCTGAACCTGAAAATCATGTCTGTAAGAAAAGTTCACAGGGACTTTAAAAAGGTCTTTAAAGAGAAGATAACATTTTTGTCAGATGGATTTTGGTAGAGTCAGTACTGTATCTTCATTTTCAGTGGACTTGCTAATAATGGATAAATCACGTGGTTTGGCAATACAGTATAGTCAGTTGATATAAAGGTTGTATAATTTTTAGCTATATTAAAATTATCGTGTTTCTTTTGTTAGAGAAGTGTATCAGATCAGCAGGTCATTTGTAGTTTGCTATTAAAGGTTCAGAAAGTTTCCTGAGATTTTTCTGTAATAGAGCTTTTGTTTTTTGTTGTATTAACAATTAACTCTGGGTCACTCCATAATTTTTATGACCATACGTATGTATTTTATAAAACTATCCATCTGTTGGAATCCTGGTTGGAAAATGCAGCTTGAAGAGATCCATCCGTAAGGTATACTGCTGACCTTTTCATATCAGCACAGCTCAAAGGAGATTTAGCCTGTGCTTTTTAATTAGCTTTTGCAAAAAGAATGCTGCCAGTAATGGACATTGTAACATTCTTCCAAAAGTCATTGAGATGGACAGTGTTTATTACCAGTGGAAAATAGTCATAAACATGACAGGAAGAATTGATTTATATTCAGGTTGAAGCTGTATTTATTAGGTGTATGGCCGCCTAGCTTTAAAAAAAGCGATACATTTTCTGTGGCACAAGGTTTTGTGGTATGCAGTTCCTTCAGTCTAGAAGAACTTGGGCCAGAATAAAATTATGACTTGAGTAATAGCTTTATAATAATTGACTTGATGGAGGAAGCTGTGGCCTTTAGTTTCCAAGACCTAAGCAGGGCTATTAATGATGAGACCTTTCAGAGATCATTAATTCATAGAGTTGCTATAAGTTCGAAGAAAATTGAGATGCTTAATGCCTTTAATAGCTCACAATATTGTGAATAAGACGAGCTTTTGAGTTCTCCAGCACTCTTCATCAATTTTAGAATAGAGGAAGAAGCATAAGAGCCTAAAATGTCAGGTAAAGTGTGATGCTTCCTATTGTTAAAGACTGACTTCTAGAAGGCAAAATGTAGTGTGCAGATTCAGGGTAAAGTCTGCATTATCACTTTATAGTCTCCTATTTCTGAAGACAAAGCCTGGAAATCTGTCTGTTGTCTCTAATGAGGCACGTAGACTTCTTTGTCAACTTAGAAAATGTCTTAGAAAAATGGGGAGCAACCTGCAATCTTTATGACACAAAACAAGAAATCAGATTTTGATGTCCACACTATATAAATGTCCATAGAATAAAATGATTAGTTTTTGAGGTATCACAAGAATTTAGGGATGTGCTGCAGTAATTTAATCCCATCATAAACTATATTTTAGCGTTTTCCTTTTGTTAGGGTTATAGACTCATATACATTGTGTGCCATCAAGTTAGAACTGACTTATAGTGACTCTAACAGAGCTTTTAAGGTAAATGAGATATTGAAGGAGTGGTTTTACCAGTGCCACATTCCCCATGAGTTTTTATGGCTGAGCAGGGATTTGAACCCAGGCCTCTTGAGTCCTTGTCTGTCCCTCTGGCCATTACACCACACTGGGCATAAGCTTATATATGCATATAACAAAAGATGACATACTAATATGACAGTGGTGTTTTAAAGGTTCAGGTGTTGAGATAATTTCAGCAATACATCATTACATCATATTGTTGTAAGCCGCCCAGAGACCTTTGGGTAGAGTGGGCGGCATATAAATTAAATAAATAAATAAATAAATAAATAAATAGCATAGTACTCCTTTGTGTATGAGAATTATGGTGTATTGTTTAATTGGTAGGGTTTGCCCTTTTCCTTTTAAAGATTTAAATCAGTGTTTAAGACATATTGTACATAAATGGCTGATAATCTAATCTTTTTTTATATAAATAACAAAGACCAGCTGCCTGTATTTGAACAGGTAACATTTCACTATTTGCAATGAAAACAAAAGGGAAGAAGGCTGTTTTTTAATATTTAATTTCAGAGGATAGGCTCTCTCTAGCCATTATATTAAGGGCAAGATAGGAAAAGTGGGAAGGTTACTTTATTCAGCCACCTTTTCTGTTTGACTTCTTGGAGTATTAGAGCCACTATTATTCAAGAGAGACAGATCACAAGGAGATAAAGACTTCCACGTCTGCTCTAGGAGGTAAGGGGGCTTCCAGGGTTCTTCCTATTTCAGCTGGCATTGCTGACAGCATTTTCTCCCTTGTCAGTAAAAAACAACAACAAGGTGCATTTATGGTGATCTGGTCCAGATCTGGTCAGCTGATATTATCTGATTCTGCTACCTTGACCCGAAGCTCAGTGCCTCAGATCCAGTCTTTTATGCGGTTTGGCCTTTCCAAAGACATTCACCAAATACTAATATATTTACTGTGTTCATGCTCGGACATCTGAGTCATATTTGAATTCAATACTTAGGGGCAAAGGTTATCTCTTTGGATTAAATGCTCGTCCTATTCAAGTACTTCAATTGAATGTGTGATGGTGCAGACTGTATAGGTGTTTGCGTGTGTCTATGTGTGTGTTGGCCTTTACATTGGTCTT